CGCCGCGTTTCGAAGCGGGGGGCGGGCCCCCCCCCCCAACATTCGGAACCGTCGATCAGAACCAGGTGGGCCCCATTCCCCCCCATCCCCCCCCCTTCTGACACCCCCACCCCCCACGCCAGGGGGGGAGGTGGGGTTCAATCCCCCACCCCCACCCCCGCGGCTCCGGCGCCAGCGCTGGCGGCCGCCAGGCGCCGACGGCGGGGACGCAGCGACGATGACCAGAGGCAGCCCACGGGGGGAGTTCCAATCTCCACCCGCGCCGGCGACGGCACCTCAGACCACCACTACCACCACCAACCCACCACGCAACCACCACCACCGCCACCACCACCACAACCACCACCACCACAACCACCACCACCACCACAACTCACCACCACCACCACCACCAAAAACCCACCACCACTACCACCACCACCAGTCTACCACACCACCACCACCACCACCACCACCACCGCCACAACAAACAACCACTACCAGCAGCACAACCCACCACCACCACCACAACCACCACCACAACAAACCACCACCACACCACCAACACCACTGCCACCACAACCACGGCCGGCACCACCTCCACAAACCACCGCCACCACCACAACCCACCACCACCACCACCACCACAAACCACCACCACACCACCAGACCACCACCACCGCCACCACCACCACCACCACCACCCACCACCACAACCACCACCACAACAAACCACCACACCACCACCACCACAACCACCACCACCGCCACCACCACCACAAACCATCACCACCACCACCACCACCGTCGTCCTCGTCGACGCACCCCGCCGCCGCCGCCCGCCGCCGCAGGCGCCGGCGCCGGCCCAGAGAAAAAAGTCGCCGTCGCCGCCGCCGCCGGCTACCGCCGCCGACGCAAGCGACGAACCGGAGAGGGGGAGAGAGGATAAGTGGGGGAGGGGGAGGAAGGGGCGGAAGGGGTTCGAAGCACCCCCCCTCTCGAACCCCCCCTCCATCCAAGGGAGGGTGTGCCCAGTTCAAGCGACCACAGAACGCGCCTTTCGGCCCTCCGTCCCCAGGCGGGGCGCCGCCGAAAGGCGCGACGGAAGCCCGCGCCTACCACGCGCGACTCGACTGCCCTGCAGGGTGCCAGAACACAACAGAAGCAGGGAACACGCACTCAATCACTCAGCCTCAAGGGTCTGCGCCGCAGCACCCCCCAGGGCCCGCGGCGGCAGCCAACGCCCCAAGGCAGGAGGCCGCGCGCCAAATCGCCCCTTACTCAGCGCAGCCTCGACCCACCCCGCCACGACTCGACGCGTCTGCAACCAAACAGCTGCCATCGCTCAGCCAGTCGGCTCGGCGCGGGTCGGGGGCGCACCCCTCGGACCGAAGGGGGGCAAGGTCGGCGGGCGAGAGCGCCGCTAGTTTCGCGTTCCGAACACTCGCCGCACTCATCCTCGGAAGCACCGCCCGAAACTGCCGCGGCCAGCGCTGCATGCCACGCGCGGGCCACCTCCACCCGAGCGCGCAACCGGGCGGCCGCCGGCCCCACTGACCTACGGCCCATCGGCAGCAGCCCCCCACCACTGTTCCCCGCGGGCGACGAGGCGGCTGGAGGATCGCCGGTTCTCGGGGCCAGGGCCGGTGCCCAGCCGCTCCCAGGCAGACGCGCCAGCGGCGCACGCTGGCAAGCGCCGTCGCTCCTCGGCGCCAGGACTCGCACTGTCGACGGGGAAGGCGGTGTCAGGATGAAGCGCATCCGTCCGCGCGGCGCTGCCACGGGCTGGAGGGTCAGTCGAAGAAATGCAGGGGCGGGTGGCCGCCTGCTCCTGCTCGTCTGGCGCCCCCGGCTAATGTTCCAACGCCTGCTGTCCCTGGGCCGTCGGCGTCGGCGTCGGCGTCGACGGCGTCGTCGGCGTCGGTGTCGGCGTCGTCGTCGCCGTCGGCGTCGGCGGTCGTCCGCCGCCTGTTAGACCCCGCCAGGCCGTCGACGTTGCCGGGCACCAGGCCCCGCCCAGCGGGCGGCGAGGGCGCTGGAGGATCGCGAATTCTCGGGGCCAGGCCCGGTGCCCAGACGCACCAGCGTAGCGCGCTGGCCGCAGCGCCGTCGCCTCTCGGCGCTGGGACTCGCACTCTCGCAGGGGGGGGGCGCCAGGTTGGAGCGTATCCGTCCGCGCAGCGATGCCACGGGCTGAAGAGTCACTGGAATTGCGCGGGCGGGTGGTCGCCCGCCCCTGCTCGTCTGGCGCCCCCGGCTTCTGGTGCAACGCCCGCGCTGTCCCCAGGTGGACGGCGTCGTCGTCGGCGTCGGCGTCGGCGTCGGCGTCAGCGTCGGCGTCGGCGACGGCGTCGGCGTCGTCGGCATCGGCGTCATCGTCGGCGTCGGCGGCGGCGGCGTCGGCGTCGGCGTCGGCGTCGGAATCGGCGCCGGCGTCGGCGCCAGTCAGCACGGGTGGCGGGGCTCTGCCACAGAGGCCCGGCACGCCCCCCAGGCTTCCGTCGAGGCACCGGCCGCGAGGGGATGGAGGGTCAGTCGAAGAAGTGCGGGGGCGGGTGGTCGCCTGACCCTGCTCGTCTGGCGCCCCGGGTTTCTGCTCCACCGCCTGCTCTGTCCCCGAATCTTCGGCGTCGGCGTCGGCGTCGCCAGCGTCGTCGGCGTCGGCGTCGGCGTCGGCGCCGGCGTTGGCGTCGGCGTCAGCGTCGGCGTCGTCGTCGGCCTCGGCGTCGTCGGCGTCGGCGTCGTCGGCGTCGGCTTCGTCGTCGGGAGGGCAGGCCTCGCTCGCGCCAAGGCATCCGGCGACGGCTGGCGGCGCAGAGGGGCCTTGCACGCTCCAGGACAACGGCTGCACAGCGCCGCCCTCCCCCACCTCCTCCGCAGGGCGGCCGCCATCTCCAGATGGGCGACTGATAGTCGCAAGCGCCCTTTGCGAGTCCCCTCCAGGCAGGCGACTGATCGCCGCAAATTTATTTTGGGAAACGGGGGGGCGGAAGGAGGGGGGGCACCATCTCCACGCGGGCGACTGATCGTCGCAAGCGCTCTCTGGCATCATCCCCCGGCGGGCGACTGATCGTCGCAAACGCCCCGTGCGAATCCCCCCCAAGCAGGCGATTGATCGTCACAAATTTACTCTGAGAAAGGGGAGGGGGGGGGCATCATCTCCAGGTAGGCGACTGATCGTCGCAAATGTTCTCTGTGAATCATCCCCAAGCGGGCAAAGGACCGCCTCGCGGCACGGGGGGTCAGCGCCAGGCCGACAAGGTCCCGACGGCCCCAGCGACACGCTAGGCCCAGCAAGCGGATGGCGCGCCCCTCCGCCTGGCGGCGCAAGAGGCCAGGAAGAGCTCGGGACGCAGAGCGAAACAGGAGGCTCTAGAGCTTCGACACACATTCCCCGCCCAGTATTTGCAACCTGCTGGCCCAATGTTGAAGCGAAACGCATGCAACTGCCAAGCTTCAAGCCGATATCGCAAATGTGCCGATCACGCACATCCTGCTCTTCAGCCACACGCTCGAAACCATGCTCGGCAAAGCTCGACGCGTACACGCCGAGCCCAAGAGGGCTGAGAGAGGCGACGACCTCGGGCTCGCAAGTTTGGGCAGGGCCGGCTGCGAGCGGGACCGCCGAAGCAACACCTGCTGGGACCGTCGGAGAAGCTGTATGGCTTGCTCGCTGGCGAACTGCACGCTGTGTCGCGCGGCGGTCTGCCCGGACTGAAATGGCATCATCGCCTTCGCGGCCCTGCTGACTATGATAACCATGACTGTGCCAACTTCGCTGAATATGATCCGGGGGACCGCGCTGACTATGCCAACCATGACTGTGCCAACCTCGTTGTTGCTGCCGTCATGATCAAGCCCCGCCAGAATGCCGCGCGCTCATCTCAGAAATCCCACCAGCCCTCTGGGCGTCGGTGGTTTAGAGCGTTTCCTCTTCCACCCCTCCTTCTTCCCCTTCGGGGAGGGGTTTACCCCTCCCCCTACCCCCTCCCCACTGACCTGGACAGGGGGGGCCGCGGGTAGTTAGAGCGTCCAAGAACGACCCCTGGGAGGGCTAAAATTCGACACCCCTCACGAGGATCGTGCCCCCCAGGGGGGCGACGCTAAAAAATGCTTCCCCCTTCTGCGATCGATGTCCTCCAAGAGGGCCTCAAGAGACGTCTCGGACTCTCCTCTTGCGCCCTGCGCGCGGGCGGGCGGAGCGCCGCCCGCCCGCCCGCGAGGCCCAAGAGCCCACCAAAACGTCCGAAGATACCTCCAAGACGCCACCAGGGAAGAGGAAGAGGCGGAGGAGGAGGAGGAGGAGGAGGAGGAGGAGGAGGAGGAGGAGGAAGGGAGGAGGAGAAGGAGGAGAAGAAGGAAGAGGGGGAGGAGAACAGCTGCCGATCATCGGCGCTCTTCGTCCGAGTGCCTGGTGTAGGATGGGGTGGTGGGGATACGCGAAGCGTCAAGAATTTGGGTGTGGGAAAGGAAACAAGAACGAAAATAGTAGGGATAGATATGGCAAGGGCAATGGCCTCCTGTCGGCCCGCGGCTTGACCCACTGCAGCTTGGGCCGGAGGCTTGAACCAGAGGCCACGGAAGCTGGTGGGGACACTTTTTGGTCGCGGCCGCATGCGAACGCGCAGGCGGCGAACAGGGTGTCCGGGCCGACGGGCAAGCCTAAGTAGCTGCAAGGCGCAGCGCGAGCCGGCCGGGCCAGCCCTCAGAAGCAGCAGCTGCGGCAGCGGCGGCGGGGGGCTGGCTGGCTGAACTGCAACGCCTAAGGAAGCTCGAGCATCATGCAGACCTGTGGCAAAATGCCAGGGAATTCTTAACTGTGCGTCGCGGCGCCAGTGCTGGTGGGGATACGCGAAGCGTCAAGAACGGAGGAGGATGGGGATGGGGATGGAGATAGAGATGGAGATGGAGATGGAGCAGGAGGAGGAGGAGGAGAAGGAGGAGGAGGAGGAGGGGGCCTGGGCGGGAACGGCTCCAGCCCAGCAATCGTCCGGAAGGAGGGACGGGGCGGCCGAGCGGGCCTTACACCGTCGAACTCCATGGCGTCGTACTCGGGCCCGGGCCCTGCGAACCGGCCCGGGGTGTGCCCCGGGTGGCGCTCCTGCTGGCGTAGAAGGGGGGGAGAGAAGTATTTGGATGATGGTTTCCCTGCGTCGAAGAGGAGGAGGAGGAGGAGGAGGAGGAGGACAGGAGGAGAAGAATATTTGGAGTTTCTGTTTGTCTGGTAGAGCGGAAACACGTAGAGCATGTCGACGTAGAGCGGTGGCAGCGAAAGCGAGGTGTTGAGGGACTCGACGCTCAGCTACGAACTAGATATGTACAACGGAAGATGTGGAAACACATTTCAACACTCAACGTAAGCGGAAACTGCGTAACTCGTATAAGAGCGGGCGCGGAGGGCGGCCACCCATGAGCCGCAAAAGGAGGCGGAAAAGAAAGGCCCTCCCCGCACACAGCATTCACTGATAACGTACCGTTCAAGTAGAAGGAGGAGGAGGAGGAGGAGGAGGAGGAGGAGGACGAGGAGGAGGAGGACGAGGGGAAGAGGGGCGGGAGGAGGAGGAGGGAGAGGAGGAGGAGGAGGAGGAGGAGGAGGAGAGGAGAGGAGAGAGAGGAGGAGGGGGAGGAGGAGGAGGAGGAGGAGGAGGAGGAGGAGAGGAGGAGGAGGAGGAGGAGGAGGAGGAGGGGAGGGGAGGGGGGGGAGGAGGAGGAGTGGCGGAGGACCCGGGGTCGGGCCCCGCTGGGCGCTTCTGTTCCACTCGGACCTCCAGACGCCACGAGGGGCCTCCAGGGACCACTGGCGCCTGCAGGCCTCCAGCGAACGAGGTAGGGAGACCAAAGAGGAGTGAATGGACGACGGGGAGGACGAGGAGGGGAAGGAAACGAGATGGACGAGGAGTCGGAGGAGGAGGAGGAGGAGGAGGAGGAGGAGGAGGAGGAGATGGAGAAGGCAGGAGGAGGAGGCGGAGGAGGAGATGGAGAAGGCAGGAGCAGGGGCGCGTCCGAAAAAACATGCTCGTATAAAAAATCGATGACACGAACAATCGGGGCGGGAGACCCTTTCATCTCCGCCTTCTTCCTGCCGCTCCCACCCCTTGGTCTTGCAGGAGGCCTACAAATTAGCAGCAGGGCATCTGAGCTTAGATCCCTCTTGAGACTGACAGCAAAGCCTGCACATGGGTCCGGCTAATTCTAACACTCTGAAGGTCAGGCTTCCCCTCCACCAGCCGCCTCATCCTCATCCGCCTCCCCCTGCTCCCCTCTCTCCTCCTGCTCTTCCCATCCTCCCGTCTCCTCCCCCATCTCTCCTTCGAAGTAGGCTCGACAGAGACGACGACGACGACGACGACGACGACGACGACGACAACGACGACGACGACGACGACGAGACGACGACGACGACGACGACGACGACGACGACGACGACGACGACGACGACGACGGACGAAGACGGACGACGACGACGACGACGACGACCCCAGACTGCCGCCGTGCCCAGTTGGCCGCGCGCCGCGGGGCGCGCGCGGCGGGAAGTGCCGGCGGGGCTGGCGGCTCCTCGGAGTACTCGGCGAGCAGCTCCATGGAGCTCTGCAGGGGGCGGGGGGGTCGGGGGGGGGGGTCCACCAAGCTCGCACTTTTTCTCTTCCTGTTCGCAGAGTTGTTACTTTCGCCTTCTCTTCAAGACCATAATTTCGAGGCGCCCCCGAGGGCGCGGATGCGGATGCAAACACGTTTGCCGCTCGTGAGGGCTTGCTGGCTGGTGCAGACTCTGCAGCCTCCCCCCTTCCAGCACGGTGCTGCAGGGCGGGCCGTCGACGCTGCGGCGCTCTCCCCAGCTGCGGGGCGGGGAGGTAGCCCATATCCACCGCCCGGGAACCGTGCCCCCGCGGGCGGAGGATGTGGACAGATTTGGGTCCCCAGGGGCCGGAATACGTCCATATCCGCCGCATGCCGAGGTCCCCGAAGACTGATCCTCCAGGCGGCGCTCATGTATAAACTTCCGCCTCGGACCAGCGCAAGGCCCCTGTGGGCGCGCGACGGGCCCATGCTGGAGGGAGGAGCACAGTCGAAGAAAGGCAAAGAGAGCGTGAGCCAAGAGCACGAGCCCCTTCGCGGAGGGCCCAAGGCCCTGTGCGGATGCCCCAGACGGAAAGCAATGCGAGGTGGAGAGCCGAAACGAGTAGAACAGAATGGTACCTCTGACAAGCTAGGGCTAACCCTGTCCTGTGCGTCCGAGCGTCATCCCCAGGGGATATTCCAGTTCAAGGCTCCCAGGAATTATAAACTCTGTGTCCCGGCGAGTCGCACGTACGGATGCACGGATGTACGTTGCACGACGGTTCCGTGGACTTGGAACAGTAGTAGATAGCAGTCAGTAGTTAGTACTTAGTTAGTAGTTAGTAGCTAATAGCTTGTAGCCACTAGGTCGTAGCTGGTAGTTAGTAGTTTTGAGTTAGTAATTAGTAGTTTTTGAGTTAGTAGTTAGTAGTTAATAGTTAGTAGTTAATACTTAATACTTAGAACTTAGTACTTAGTCTTTAGTACTTAGTATTTAGTACTTAGCACTTAGTTGTTAGTACTTAGTATTTAGTACTTAGTACGTAGCACGTAGCACTTAGCACTTAGTACTTAATACTTAGTACTTAGTACTTAGCATTTAGTACTTAGTACTTAGTACTTAGTACTTAGTACTTAGTACTTAGCATTTAGTACTTAGTGCTTAGTACTTAGTAGTAGTAGTAGTAGTAGTAGTACTACTACTACTAGTACTAGGACTAGTACTAGTACTAGTAGTATTAGTAATGATAATATATGTAGTAGTAGTAGTAGTAGTAGTAGTAGTAGTAGTAGTAGTAGTAGTAGTAGTAGTAGTAGTAGTAGTAGTAGTAGTAGTAGAGTAGTAGTCGTAGTAGCAATGGTAAAAATAAAAGTTGTAGTAGTAGTAATAGCAATAGTCGTAAGATGTCCAGTAGTAGTTGATGTTGTAGTTCTAGTACTAATGATGATGGGAGAAGTAGTAGTACGACTAGCAATAATATGAATGATAGTAGTAGTTGTTGTAGCCGTACCAGTAGTAGTACTAGTAGTCGTAATAATAGTAGTTGTAGGAGTAGTAGTGGACAATAGTGGTACTAGTAGCAGTAGTAGGACAGTAGTCGTAGTAGTGGTCGTCGTAGACGTAATCGCACTAGTAGTAATAATTAAAGCCATGGTGCGAATCATACGTATGGTAATAGAGTAACAGTAGTAGTACTAATTGTAGTAGTAGTAGTAGTAGTAGTAAAAATGAGAATACGAGTAGTAGTACTAGTAAAAACAATGAGGGTAGCAATCATAATATACTGGTAGAATTCGTCGTCGTCGTACTCGTAGTCGAAATCGATTTCGCGGTCGCAACCGTAGTCGCCACATAGAGTGCCACGTACAGGCCGCCACATAGCGTGCACCACATAGGAAGCACCACATAGACAACACCACACAGACAGCACCACTTAAATTCTCCTTTCTTCCATGAACAAATCGCTTCTACCCCTCCGGAATTATCCGCCAACTATCGCATTGCAATTTACAATCGATTCTGCCCCATCGTCCATCCCAAATATAAAGTCGTACCATCCCAGGCGAACCGGTATTGACACCCCCCCCCCAGGCATCCTGTGACCAAAAAAAAACTACGCGCGCACACTCGAGAATAAATACTTATCAGTTGCCAAGAGTCACTTGGCAAAAAATAGCGAAGTGCACAAGCGCACGTCGTCGCGCACGCATGCCAAAATCCTGTTAGAATTTTTCGGTGTTGTAAGGATTACAAAATCGGGCGCCCAAGAAACATATACCATTACTTGGTTACGCAACAAGGAAATTCAAAACAGTTTGCGCGCGCACTCAAGTAAATTCGTTACAAAACCGCTGGTTTTTCAGAATACTCATATAATGTTACCAAGCGGGCTTCGCGCGCGCGCAAGTCGAAACCATTCAAACGCCCTTTTTGCGCCCGTGCTGTCGCAAGACTTCACACGCGCGCGCGTCGTCGCGCGCGCATGGGGGAATCCTGTTAAAGAACCGTCGTTCATAAAGATTAAAAAATCCAGTGCCCCGAAACGATAGAAAACCAAATTGCTTCGCCACGTCAATTGTCAAAAAAACTGCGCTCACGCTCTTGCGAATTCTTGAAGATAAAAACAAAGTTTTTTCAGCATTGCCAGTTGATTCTGTCAAACGGGCCTCTCGCGCCGCATGCCGATATCATCCGAACGCCCTTCCGCGCGCACTGGGTGGGGCACGATCCGTCTAAAATCATACCATGTGGGCCACTCTCGCACTTCGGCCGCGCGCACGTCGAAATCCTTCCAAAACCTTCATCACCGACGCGAAAACGCCGTCATCGTCGGCGTGATCAGCATCGGCGCCGTCACTGGCAGTGCCGTCGTCGTTGTCAGCATCGCCAGTAGCATCGCTACTATCATCATCGTCTCTGACGTTGTCGACGTTGTCATGATACCGCGCCCGACCAAGTCCCCGACTCGCACTGAAGTGCGAGCTGGGATGTGCCTAGCGGTCAGCGCCTCCGCGGCCGAGTCGGTCGCGCCAAACTAGCTGACCGCTGCGCGCACGTGCTTGGGTTGGCGCGGCCGCAGAGATGCACCAGCCGACGCGAAGCATTCATCGCAATCGCCACCGCATAAGTGATGCAAACCAAGTTGCGAATGGGTGGGTGGGTGGGATGTTTGCAAGAGCATGGAATGTGTCAACTCGTTTGTAAAAACAAAAAAGCACCACATGTGTTGCACCACTCAGAGGGTGGGAGGAGCGCGCTCCTCCTCATTTCTCCTCCTCGTCCTCCTCCTCCTCCTCATCCTCCTCCTCCTCCTCCTCCTCCTCCTCCGCCTCGACCCCTCATCCTCCTCGACCCCTCCTCCTCCTCTTCTTCCTCCCCCTCCGCCCCCGCCCCGCCCCGTCCGCGGCCGCGCGGCCTGGCGGGGCGGGGCGAGCCGCGGCCTGGATGCGCTCGTCGCTCAGCAGCTCCGCCTCGGACTCGACCTCCACGTCCGGGGTGGCCGCGAGGGCGGCCTGCGCCCCGCCCCCCCCTCCTCCCCAGCGGCGGTGCCGACAGGCGCTTCCCGCGGGGCCTCTCCGGCTGCGAGGGCCCACAGGGCCTGGCCTGCAGAAGGGAGGAGCGCCCAGTGGGTCACTTTTCCTCCACCTCCCACTCCCTCTCCCTCCTCCTCCCCTCCCCCGCCCTCCCCATCATTTCTACAACTTCCATTCCCTCCTCCCCCCTCTCCTCCTCTCTCCTCCTCCTCCTCCTCCTCCTCCTCCTCCTCTCCTCTCCTCCTCCTCCTCTCCCTCCTCCTTCCCTCCTCCTCCTCCTCCTCCTCCTCCGCCTCTCCTCCCTCCTCCTCCTCCTCCTCCTCCTCCTCCTCCTCCTCCTCCTCCTCCTCCTCCTCCTCCTCCTCCTCCTCCTCCTCCTCCTCCTCCTCCTCCTCTCCTCCTACTCCTCCTCCTCCTCCTCCTCATCCTCCTCCTCCTCCTCCTCCTCCCCCTCTCCTCCTGATCATCATCATCACAGCCATCATCATCATCATCATCATCATCATCATCATCATCCATCATCATCATCATCATCATCATCATCACATCATCATCATCATCATCATCAGCATCATCATCATCATCGTCATCATCAGCATCTCATCATCATCATCATCGCATCATCATCATCATCATGCACCATCATCAGCAGCAGCATCATCATCATCAACACCACCACCACAACCACCAACAGCACAACAACAACAACAGCATCATCATCATCATCGTCCATCATCATCATCTCATCAGCATCAATCGCACAGCATCATCGTCATCATCATCAGCAGCAGCATCATCATCAGCATCAGCATCATCATCATCATCATCATCATCATCCTCATCGTCATCGTCATCCTCATCCTCATCCTCATCCTCATCCTCATCTCATCATCATCATCATCAGCATCATCATCATCAGCAGCAGCATCATCATAATCTGAATCATCGGCATCATCAGCATCATCATCATCCTCAGCATCCTCGTCATCAACAAAAACCAAACAACAACAACAACAACAACAACAACAACAACAACAGCAACAACAACAACAGCATCAACAACAACAGCATCACCAACAACAACAACAACAACAACAAACCTCAACAACAGCAGTCACAACAACAGCAGCAGCAACAACAACACCACGCCAACATCATCGGCATCTCCTTATCATCCTCATCCTCATCCTCATCCTCATCATCCTCCTCATCATCATCAACAGCATCAGCATCAGCATCATCACCATCATCAGCAGCATCAGCATCATCATCATCACCACCACCACCACCATCATCATCATCATCATCATCATCATCACCCTCATCCTCATCCTCATCCTCATCCTCAGCATCACCATCATTATCATCATCATCACCATCATCATCATCATCATCATCATCATCATCATCATCATCATCATCATCATCATCATCTACTTCCTCTTCCTCTCCCTCTTCCTCTTCCTCTTCCTCTTCCTCAAGTTCGTCCCCATCCCCCTCCCCCGTCTTCCGCCGCCGCTGCAGTCCCATGCTGCTTCCTGCAGCTTTGCCTTCTCATCGCAGATGGTGATGCGGACTCAGTGCTGCAGACTGCCGTGCCTACTAGTGCCTCGCAGAGTAACAGAAACGCGTGCCTCAACAACTGCTCGAGAAACGCGAACGTTTCAATAGCTCGTTCGGCAATCTCTGGCTTAGGACCCCGAAAACACGGAGGAATGCTGCCGCCGATCCTATCAAAATGATGGCAACACTGATGCTCGACAGACGAGATATGTCTCGAGCTTCTGATACTTTCCTAGCAACGACCTCCTCATCCTCATCCTTCTGGCTAGAACGTGGGGGCGGTCGGAGTGGCCATCACGGAGCCATCTCGGGGCCTCCTTGGGGCACTCGTGGGAAAGCTGGGGGCCTCTTGTGGCCACCTTGGCGCCCCTTGGACCGCCAAGGTGCCTTTGCTTGGGCGGTCTGGTGGTGACATCGGACCTTTTTGGCGTCCCTGTGGCCTTGGGGCCTCCGGGGGGATTTTGGGGGCTCTGGCGCCGTTTCAGGAAGGGCATGGGGCTCTGCTGGGGCGGCATCGGGTCGTCTGGGAGCTGTCCTGGAACTCCGAGCAGGGCCCAAGAGGCTCCCAAGAGGGCACCACGAAGGGTTCCAAAGCGTCAGCGTTGTCGTCGACGTCGTCGCCGCCGTCGTCATCGTCGTCGTCGTCGTCCCCCTTCAGGGTCGGCGGCACCATCCACAAATCTTTCGCAATACTGCCAAGACCACGCTTTGAGGATGATGCCCCAAGCTTGTGGCCCATATGGGCCCCAGACGGCGCTGGGGAACCTGACGCACCCTTCCGCCGAGTCGATCCGATCCCTCCCTCCTTCGCTCATCCCTCTCCTTCCCTTCCCCCTCCTTCCCCCTGGAAGCAGCCGGGGCGCGGCGGGGCGGACGGGGCGCAGCGGGCCTTCGGCCTCCGCTGCTGCCCACCCGCCCCCGGCAGCACCGCGGTGGCGCGCGCAGCCCGCGACGCCCAGCCGCCGCGGCGGGCGGCGCTGGCTGCACTGGCGGCGGGGGACGGGCGGAGGCGGCGGCGGTCACGGCGACGGCGGCGGCGGCGACGACGGCGGCAGCGACGGGCGGCGGCAACGGGCGGCGGCAAGCGAGGACCGCGGTTTGTGGAAGTGCGCTGCCCCGCCTTTAGGCCTCCGGGGGCCTCCGACGGTCTCCGGGGACCTCCAGGAAGCCTCGGAGGACATCCGGGGGGCCTCGGAAACCTCTGGCGCCGTCGCTTCCAAGGTTTCTGGGCGTCTCTGCGGGTTCTCGTCGCCACGGCTGTGCCAGGATGAACCCTTGGAGGGCCGCTTTTGAACACATTTTTGTCGAGGGGCGGTTCCTCCCTTCCTCCCTCCCTCCATTCCCCGCTCCATTTCGTTATCCCTCTTCCTCCCAAGCTCATCAGGCTTCACTGCGAGTCTCAAAGGGCCTGAAATGCGCAAGAGCATACGAGATACAACGCAAAAGGTTCATGCCTATCTGATCCTGCCGCCCTTCAGACCCAGAACACGCAAGCTCCCCTCTTCCTCATCGTCGTCGTCATCCTCATCCTCATCCTCCTCCTCCTCCTCCTCCTCCTCCTCCTCCTCCGCCTCCTCCTCCTCCTCCTCCTCCTCCTCATCCTCCTCCTCCTCCTCCCCTCCTCTTCCTCCTCCTCCTCCTCCTCCTCCTTCCTCCTCCTCCTCCTCCTCCTCCTCCTCCTCCTCCTCCTCCTCCTCCTCATCATCATCATCAGGCAGCAGCAGCAGCATCAGCAGCATCAGCATCACATCAGCATCAGCATCAGCATCATCATCATCATCATCATCATCATCATCATCATCATCATCACATCATCATCATCATCATCATCATCATCATCATCATCATCATCATCATCATCATATCATCATCATCATCATCATCATCTTTTTCCTATGTTCCTCCTCCTCCTCCTCCTCCTCCTACTGCTGCTCCTCCTCCTCTTTTCCTGTGTTAATCCTCCTCCTCCTCCTCCTCATCATCATCATCATCATCATCATCAGCATCAGCATCAGCATCAGCATCAGCATCATCATCATCATCATCAGCATCCTCATCATCATCAGCGTCATCAGCGTCATCAGCATCATCATCATCATCATCATCATCATCATCATCATCATCATCATCATCATCATCATCATCGTCATCATCATCCACATCATCATTATAAACATCATCATCATCATCATCAACATCGTCATCATCAGCAACAGCATCGTTTGCATCATCATCATCATCATCATCATCATCATCATCATCATCATCATCATCATCATCATCATAATCAGAATCATCATCATCATCATCAACAGCAGCATCATCATCAGTATCATCAGCATCATCAGCATCATCATCATCATCATCATCATCAGCATCAGCATCATCATCATCATCATCATCATCATCATCATCATCATCACAATCATCATCCGCCTTCATCCTCCTCCTCCTTTTCCTCCTCCACCTCATTTCCCTCCTCTTCCTCCTTCTCCTCCTCCTCCTCCTCCTCCCCCTCCTGTTCCTCCTCCTTGTAAACAACCTCCAGCGTGTCGCACTCCAGGTCGAAAAGGCAAGCCGGGCGTTTCGCCTACGACTTCCTTCACAGTTCTGACCCTGAAGCGTTAAAACTGGCAACAGGTTCACAGATGCAGGGCGGGCGGCTTCCATGATGTGGCTCTCGCCTTGGTGCGGCGCGCACTCGTCTGAAACATTTGCGAAAGCTTCACGGATTGAGAGCGGGTCGTTTTCAAAATGTGGCTCTCGCCTGAGCGCCGCGCACACTCGTTTGAAAACAACTGCCAGAGCTTCACGGATTGAGAGCGGGAGGTGTTCAAAATGTGGCTCTCGCCTGAGCGCAGCGCACGTTCGTCATAACAAAATTGCCAGAGCTTCACGGATTGAGGGCGATTTCTTTTCAACATGTGGTTCTCGCCTCAGCGCTGCGCACGTTCGTTCTAAAAATTTGCACGAATCTCAAGGATTGAGGGCGGTTCTCTTTCAAAATGTGGCTCTCGCCTTCGCGCCACGCACACTCTTTCTAAACATTCTCAAGATTCGCACTGGTTCCCATGGTTCTCGTACCAAACACGGCGCGTGGGAACGATTCATGATTGTCATGGCTAGACACATACGCTGATTCGCGGTGTCAAGTCCCAAAAATGCTGTTTTGGCGCACTTCAGGATCTTCAAGCGGCTCTTTTCAAACTGAGCAGTTCCCGCAGTGGAAATGAATCCTTGTGTGGGGCCTACGATTAATAAGATTGGGGGAACGGTTGATTCAAACATCGATGCTTGATTTTGGGTGTACACTGGTCCTCCTCCTTTTCCTCCTCCTCCTCCTTTTCCTCCACCTCCTCCTCCTCCTCCTCGTCCTCTTGCCCCTCCTCCTCCTCCTCCTCCTCCTCCTCCACTCCTTTTCCTCACTCCGGCGTGTCGCACTCCCGGTCAAAAGGGCGGGCTGGGCGTTTAGCCTAAGACTTCCTCACCACATTTGACCTTGAAGCGTTAAAACTGACAACAGGTTCACGGGCGGCTT